GGCAAATGCTCTACYGCTGAGCCACAACCCCAGCCCTTTATTCCTTTTAAAAAATATTTCTTCTTCTATTCATTCCTACATGGAATGCTCTCCTTCCAGGTCACTTTTGTCTTATCAACTAAACTCATGGTTTAACTAGGTCAATTCATACTCTTTTTTTTTTTTTTTTTGTACCAGGCATTGAATCCAGGAGTGCTTCACCACTAAACCACATAACCAGCCTTTTTTTTTTTTTTAATATTTATTTTATTTTTTTTGCTGTAGTTGGACACAATACCTTTATTTTGTTTATTTTTTTATGTGGTGCTGAGGGTCAAACCCAGGACCTCACATGTGCTAGGCGAGTACTCTACCGCTAAGCCACAACCCCAGGTCCCCCCCAGCCCTTTTTTATATTTTATTTACAGACAGAGTCTCACTGAGTTGTTTAGGGCCTCGCTACGTGTCCGAGGCTGGCTTTGAACTCTCGACCCTCCTGTCTCAGCCTCTTGAGTCACTGAGATTACAGGCGTGCACCACTGCACCCAGCTGCAATTCATACTTTTTCCATAAACACTTCTCTGTTTCCTTCATCTTCTCTAAACTCCTGTAGTTCTATCTACATGACTTCATTTAAATGTCACATACCAGTAATGTTTAGGATTGACTTAAAACTAATCCAAAAGTGCCGGTGGGGGGGTAGGGGTGGATGAAACACCACTGGCTCTATCCTCCCTCTCCCTATACTGTCATCTGCAGGTGATGGAGATGTTGTTCATTGTGTTATTCTCTCTATTTGGGGGCTTTGGGGAAAGTTTCCACAATAAAAAATTCAATTTTAGAGGCTAATGCCTTATCCTCCCAATGAGATCCTGGGCTCCTCTAATTTTTATTCCTGCCTTAGAGGATAATAACTTATATAGAAAGATAGCCCTCCACTGGCGCTTGCTGAATTAATTCTATCTGATGTGTAAAAACTTCCATCCGGAAAAAAAGCTGGATTTAGATGTGAGGAAAAAGATCCAAGGTGCTAGTCTATCTCGTTTCCTGGCCTTTCTTCCACAGCCAAACCTCTTTTTGATTTCTGATCTAGCTACCCTTCTCTTGGGCTTATCATTGATCTCCAATGAATAAATGCAATGCTCTGGCCCGAGTGTTCTGAGATGTTTCTGGATAACCCATAATTATCATAAAACTGGAAGCCAGGTATGTATTCTGATTCTTTTTGTGGCTCCCTCCCTTCTTTCTCAGCATAGATCCTATTTTGTTCTCCTTCCTGGGTCCCACCGTTCTCCTCATTCCCCATGGCCTCCTCTGCTGCAGTGTGGCTGGGGTGTTGTAGCTCAGAGGTAGAGCCCTTGTCTGGTGCATGCAAACACAATCCACAATGAGCACTCCTTCTACACTAACGATTCAGAGAAAGTTCTCTAAAACCAAAACTAGTACGTAAATAGTGTGGTAATCCACATTTTTTCCTACAACCACTGCTCTTTCTAATTTTAAGTGGGGCCAGGAACTCCACAAGAAGAGTCATGTCAAAAAAATGTTTGCAGCCAGCATCCAAGAAGAAAAATCTCTTTTCTCACATCTGGTGTCTAATTCCTTCAGGCAGAAAATCAGCTAAAACGACAGCAGTTATTTCCACTTTGATTGTAGAGGCAACCGAAAGGGACACACTTACCTTTGAGATCCATTTTCTTCTCATTTCCTGAAAAGTAAGGAGAAAAGATTTTGATGGGAGAGTAATTGCAAAATTTAGCAAACCTTGGAAAGAAGGAACTTTAATTACTCATTCGTGCGGAGAATACCCAGACAGGAGAGATGGAAGAACTAGACACAGAGCAGAAGTCTCTGAGTCATTTGCTAATGCTTAAATCTGAAAACCGTGACTCTGATTATGATGCGTTAAAAAGCCTGCACTTGGCAAGGCAGTCACATGGGCTGGCTCGTTCCCTCCCCCACCCTCTCTCCCCGAACTAATTCCTTTATCTTTGGTTTATTCTTGCCTTTCCACTCTGCCAAATATCAAAGGTTTTGTTTCAACAGGTCTGTAATCTGTAATCTTTGGGAGGTACTTTCCATTTTTGTTCCTATTACCCACATTCTTCAAGAATAAAACTCTCTGCCAAGTCACCTGCTATATGACTGTGCTAGGCAGAATAATAGCCTCAAAAAATCCACTTCCTAACCCCCCGAACTGTGACTATGTTTTATGGCAGGGTTGGGGTAAAGCTTGCAGATAGAATAACCTAACTGGGCCCAGTGGTCCCATAAGTGAAAGAAGGATATGGGAGAACCCATGTCAGGGAATGAGATATGAGGAAAACCCAACTAGTTCTTGCTGCCTTTGGAAATGGAAAAAAGTTACAAAATAGGATATGTGAGAAGCTTCTAGAAGCTGGAAAAGTCAAGGAAGCAGATTTATCACTAGCGCCATTCTCCTGACACTCCAATTTTAGCACAGTAGTCCCATGGCAGACTTCTGACTTTGAGAACAATAATCAGTTTGTATTGTCATAAGCCTTTGAGTTTCTGGCAGTTCGTTATAGCAGCAACAAGGAACTAATACAATAGCTTTTTACAAGCGATGGCAGGGAAGGGACCTTAACTAATTTTTATGATCGAACTTAAAAACACCAGTTTGAACTGAGCAATTTCTAAAACTAGCAATGTTAATACCGACCTGGGTGATACTTGTGTGTGGTGGATGCCTGCCACTGCTTGTTCCTTTGAGTGGCTGCTGTCATCACATCCTAGGTACTCCTCAAGTTGGGGCTGAGGCCACCAGGAAGGGTGTCAGAAATCAAGATGCTTAGAGGCAAGTAGTAACACTTACCAAAAGTTGGCTATTGTTTGCCTGCCTTGGTATCATTTCTTTTTTATTTCCTTCCCTCCTTCCTTCCTTTATTTTATTTTATTTTTATACCAGGCATTGAACTGAGACGTGCTTAAAGCGTTGAGTCACATCTTCAGCCCTTTCTATTTTGTATTTTGAGACAGGGTCTCTCTGAGTTGTTTAGAACCTCACTAGAACTGGCCTCGAACTTGCAATCCTCCTGCCCCAGGCTCTCAAACTGTTGGCATTACAGGTGTGTCATTTCTAAATAGAGTAATTGTGTCTGTAATACCAAACAATTCAGATGTTTCCCTTTTTTCAATCAATTATTTCAATCTTTTTTCACAGTATGATTTTTATTTTTCAAAAATAAAACAAAGTGTAGATACTCTTTATCTCAAAGAGCCCTGTCTCCAATTACTTTATATATTGTCAAACTCTGGTCATTAAGGGATAAATTATACAATTTGTAGTTCTTTGTAATTAAGAACTTCTGGTGAGAGAGAGAGAGAGAGAGAGAGAGAGAGAGAGAGAGAGAGAGAAAGGACAAGTGAGCTTCCAGTTTCTTGTTCACCTCTGTCCAGCACCAACCTTTGACTCTTGCCCTGTGTCACTGTCTCTCCTTGATGGGGCAGAGAAGGCAAGAAAACAAAAGAAAATTTAGTCATTGTGACTCCCTAAACAAAACTAAGGTTTTCTTATGGAAGAGTTTAACATTTCCAATTTATTTAGAGACAGAGGACACTAATCCAGCCAAAAATACAAGCCAGGACTGTGTCAGCAACAAAGAGCAATAATATTTAGTAATAGTAGGAAGTTTTTCCTAAATTGAAAAGCTTTTTTTTCAACTGTATAAGTTATACATATTAGGTGTGGTGGTGCACACCTGTAAGACCAGTAGCTCAGGAAGCTGAGACAAGAGGATCAAAGGTTCAAATCCAGCCTCAGTGAGACCCTGTCTCAGAATAAAAAATAAAAAAGGCTGGGGATGTGGCAGCGTGAATGCACCCTTGTGTTCAATTCTTGGTAGCAAAAAAAAAGTTACACGTTTTGTGAACAGCAAATAGAACTATGTAAATTACATGACATAAAACCAATAAATATTCCCATGATTCACTTATTCGTCTGTATTTGAAAACAGTTGTCTCAATCATGGATTATGGGCTCATTTGCCTATCTTTCCCTTGATATTTGCTTCAAAGGCTCTAAAAGGAGCTCTAGGCAGCTGCATATGGCCCAGGTGTAGGAAATTGGCTGTCTCTGCTCTACGGATTTCAGTTTCACAGACTCTTTCTATTCCCCTCTAATACAATCCAAACATAAACCAGTACTCCACATTTTCCCCTCATTCCCAACAAGGACTTCTAATGCCCTGAAAATGGTCACATGGATGTGCTTTGGAGAAAGATCACATGCAATAGAGTTCATGTCATCTTTGACTGTATAAAATTTATATTTCAGGCCAGCTTGTTTTTACGCCAATGCCTGCTTGCCATAAAATGAAATAAATATGCAGTGTGTTTTATGTAACTGACCCTGAAAGATATAACATGCACGCACATGCTTTAAGAACAGTCACCTAAGATTATGCAGGTTGTTCTGAAAGTTATAAGGAATCGCACTGATATTCCAAATGTGCTTCTGAGTAAATTTCTCAACTACTGGAAACCTGTGCAGCTGTTTCCAGCACATTCTGGCACAACATCTACATTATTAGCTATATATGTATAACACTATCTCAAATGACTGGAGAGACCCTCCCCATCTGTCCCCTCTCGGGGAAGGGAATGCAGAAGCATCTGCTAGTGTTGGGAGCTGATCATTCTAAAGTACAGAAGAAGATCTATCCTCTGCACATGAGCTGAGTGAGTGAGGAACCAAAGCAAGTTCATCATCAATGAGGATGGAGAACTGAAGTTTTATTTGGTGAAGAATATTAAAATGGGGTCATAGGATAGGAAGTTCCTCTAAAACTAGTAAATATGAAATTACAAAATCCAAATTGGGCACATCCAAATATCGAATAAATAGATGCCTGGGGTGAGTGAGTCACAAGCACATGAGCTGTAAGAGGTTGAATTCAAGAAAACAGATCAGGCAATGCTGCTTAATACCATCACATGATCTGCCCCGAGGCCCTGTATTTCATTTAATAAAGAGTGGGGCACGGCGGAGCCCAGAAGAACACTGGTGCTCTCCGTGGATGGGGCCAGAGGAATTGAAAGTTACATCCTGATTGCCAGGGCAATTCAACATGGAATGTCTCTACTGTGTCCTAGGATTTCTGTTTCTGGCTTCTAGACTGCCACTTGATGCAGCCAAACGTGAGTAATTCTATTTTTATGTTTAACCCCTCCTCTGACTGTTGGCTAGGTGATGGATAATAATATCCTCTGAGCTGACCTGGACTGAAACTCCCCAGGAAGCATTCACGGATTCGGACTCATTCATTTCTCCTACAAACCACTGGGAATGTTGAAACTACTGCATCCTCCAACCGCAGCCTTGTTTCAGGCTCATGGAAAATAGAAATCATGCAGCCCTATGGAGCTCTTTTTTCATTGCCAATTCCTCCTCTGCTGTTGCCAGACAGGGGTTGAAAGAGGGAGGATGGTCCCTGTCCCTAGAATAAAGTAACTCTACCAACAAAACTTTGTCTGGCTTCCTTTCAACAGCATGGAGGCAGACCTCAGATGAAATGGGGGCTCAAATCTGGAGACAAGCTCTTTCACACCCTATCCAGAAACTTGGCTGAGCTTTCTCTGCAGACCTATAGGAGCTTGCTTCCCCTTCTCTGAGGTTACTGAGAGAAGGGCTGACACCTGCTTCTCTGCCCTGGTTATGCTTTAGAGACTGGGGCAGTGTGTGTGCACTCCTGGGCGTGTGGTACTGGGGATTGAACCCAGGACCCTTTTACCATTGAGCTATATCCCCAGTCCTTTTTATTTTTATTTTGAGACAGTCGTGCTAAGTTGCAGTGACTGGCCTCAAACTTGAGGTTCTCCTGCCTCAACCTCCCTAGTAACTGAGATGACAGATGTGCCCCACCGAGCCAGCAAGACTGGGCACTTACAACAATGTTGATGCCAATCAATGAAATCGGCATGTTTGAGAGTGGGCTCAGCCTATCCTCACTTAAAAAGTGCTCTTGCCCTCCAGATGTGCAGCCAGGGGTGGGAACCACTGAGGTGGAGTGTGCCCACTTGTTTAGTGCATGGGTGACCCTGTTCCTCCGGGAAGAGCAAGCTAGTAAAGAGTGAAAGTGATCCATGCCTCTCCCAGAAGGTCCACCCCACCTTGCTCCAATAGAGCAGTGACCTTCTAGGGGTCCTGGTTCCTCCAGACAACTCCACCGGGGGTCGGCGAAGGTAGGGGTGGGTTTGAGCACCCTGGAATCCATACCTGACTGGTGCCCAAGTGTGTAGTCACTATGCTGGCCACTTGGTTTATGTCACTCAGGTAATGCCCACAACCGCATCCAGTGCTTTTGATCAGTGAGTCCAAACACAAGGATCTTGGCCAGCTGGGGCCAGGTGGCACTGCCCAGTTGGTATTGGTGTTTGGCTCCTTGGAAGAGCGCTGGGAGACTGAGGCTGTGATTGTCCCTCTTCCCAGAGGAGGAGCGAGACCATAGAGAGGGCAAGGAATTCAAGTGGAGTGTGCCCAGTGGAGTGGCAAGGCCACACAGCTGGTAGATGGAAGAGGAAAGAAAACGGCCATCTCAAACACTGTCCTTCCTGCCAGGGCTTGGAGGACCCACTTGGGTCCCCTGCCAGCAGGGCTGGTCCCCGAGTGACTTAGCTTCATTGAGTTTTCATTTCCTTTTACCAAACTGGTGATAAGTTCTTGTGAGATCAACTAACAAAAGGTGCTTGGCTAGGAGACATACGTGGTGGAAATTCTTCTCCTCTGAGATCTGCACCCCGATCCAGCAGACCTCCGAGGACAGACTCCCCAGGAATCTGCATTCCTGAGAGATTGAGATATGGGCACACAGACAGGTCCATGGGAGCCCCTGCCCTGATTCCAGCTGTGCTTAATAAAACAGATTAACCAGAGGATGAATCTGGGCTGTCAGTTTGAGAAGAGTCCCAACCTATTAGGCAGTGTTACAGAGCCCAGACATTCCTGGGTTCCTCTTGCCCTAGACTAAATATTCTGGCCCAAATAAATAAGGGTAGATAGCATTTAGCAGTGTGTCAAACACCGAGGGACTTTGAACCGTAGTCTTGGCAATCACAAATCTGTTCTTTGGAATCTGCCTTTTACAAAATGCAAAAAAGTTGATGACAGAGTAGGTAAAAAGCAGCCCCAGACACCTGCTCTCTGCTGGTGGGCAGAATAGGGAGTGGTGAGTATAGAGGGGGAAGCCCACCCAGCCGTGGGCCACTCAGTCCTACCTTCTGCCTGTGTCTCCTCCCCCCACATTCACACTCACTTGTTGCTTCCTTTTAGAGCCTGCATACAGTTTATTTATCTTATTTTCAAATCTGACCTTTCCTTTTGAAGTAATTATACATTCATATGAAATTGTAAGAAATAATAGATCTCGATGCACCCTTCATCCAGTTTGCTCCAGTAGTGAGATAAGGCAAACCTGGTATCATAACCAAGATATTGACATTGAGATAGTCAAAATACAGAACTGGTCATCACCACAAACATCCTCATGCCCTTTTATAGCCAAATCCACTCCCCCTCCACCACTTCCCATACCCTAGCAATCACAAATCCATTCTCCATTTTTATAATTTTGTAATTTCTGGAATGCACGCAAATGGAATTATTCAGTAGGTGACCATTTGGCACTGGCTCTTCTTTAACTCAACATAGTTCCCTGGAAATTTACTGAAGTTGCTGCATCTATTATTTGTTCCTAGCCGAGCACTGTGGCCCATGTCTATAATCTCAGCTCCAGAGGCTGAGTAGGAGGATTGCATGTTCAAAGCCAGCCTCAGCAACTTAGCAAGGCCCTAAGCAACTTAGCAAGACCCTGTCTCTAAATAAAAAATAAAAAGGGTTAGGGATGTGGCTCAGTGGTTAAGCGCCCCTGGGTTCAATCCCTGGTACCCCCCACTCCCCCAAAAAAAGTTTGTTCCATTTTACTGCTGAGTAGTATCCCATGGTCTGTATGAACCAGAGCTTGTTGAATCATTCACCCACTGAAGGACATTTGGGTTATTGCTCTTGGGTTTACTCTGAGTAAAGCTGCTGTGAATCTTCACGTACAGACTTTGATATGAACATAAGTTCATTTCTCTAGGATCATGTCAAAGAGTCAATTGATTGGTTGTACAGCAGTTGTGTGCTGTTCTACAAGAAATCAACAGCCTTGCTGTACCATTTTTACATTGCCACTAGCAATGGCTGACTGTCCCTACTTCCTCTGCTGCATTACTCTTTATTTGGGTCAAACTGATAGATCTATGGGGGTTTTTCATTGTAGTTTTATCAGGCATTTCCCTACTGGCTAATGAAGTTGGGTATCTTGCCATGTGATTATTTGTCATCTGTATATTCTGTTTGTTGATATATTTGTTCATGTTTTTTAGTCATTTTCTAATTGAATGGGTTGTTTTTTCAGGTTAAATTTTGAGAATTTTTTATATATGAGAATACTACTCCTTTGTTGGAAATGTGATATGCAAATAATTTCCCCTAGTCATTAGCTCTACTTTTCATTCCCTTACATAGACTTTGATAGAGCAAATTTTTTGTTTTAATAAGGCCCAATACATCAGTATTTCCTTTTATGGTTTATACCTTTGGTATCAAGTCTGAATTCTGGTCTAGCCCTGAATCCTGAAGGTTTTTGTCTATGCTTATTACTTTTTTTCCCATCACCTTTTGTTGAAAGTCCATCTTTTCTCCACTGGATAATTTCTAAATCTTTGTCAAGAATCAGTAGGCCATACTTGTGTGGGTCTATTTCTGGGCCCCCTATTCATTTCCACTGACCTATGACACTCTCCTTTTAAGTTTATATTTTTCCTTGACTTTTAACATTTAAAATCAGAGGAGAAATCTGTGTTTTGATTATATTTCTGGAAATTCTCTCAGGATCTGAGGAAGAAGAAGACTCTTTGAAATAGAAAGAACTAGTCGTGAGGATGAAAAGATGTGAATCTTCATTTCCACTACATTAAAGATGGCCCTAGGTGAATCATATCAGTCTCTAGGCCTGGCTTTATTCATCTGCAAAGGGAAAGAGTTCATTCCTTGTGACTCAATTAAAAGTGAATTTCCTATTACAAACATTTATTGATAAACATGAATTTCCTGTCCTCACTCAGTATCTGTTTCCAAATAAGAATAATGACAGAATCATATAGCATTTGGGTTTTGTCTAATTTGAAGGTCCAGGAAAAAACATATGACCTGAGGTCAGACAGCCAGTTTAGTAGCAGAACCGAGGCTAGAACCTAGGTTCTATGACACCTAGTTCAATGTTCTCTCCCATTCCACCTGACTCCCTGTTAAGAGGGGACAACAAAATGTCTCTTCCTGGGGGAAAAAACAAACAAACAAACAAAAAAACCTCTTTCTCCTGCTGGATATAAAAGAGCCAGGCTCAGTGACACATGCTTGTAATCCCAGTGACTCAGGAGGCTGAGGCAGGAGGATCAGAAGTTTGAGGCCAGCCTCAGCAACTTAGTGAGCCCTGTCTCTAAAGGAAAAATAAAAAAAAAAAATTGGGGATGTAACTCAGTAGTAGAGCACTCCTGGGTTCAATCCCCAGCATCATCAAAAAAAGGAAAAGATAAAGGAGGTCAGTAGCAAACATTCAATATAGCTTCTCTGAGCACCCACTAAATACCACACCATGTGATAGACCTTTTCCAGAGCTTAAGAAAACAGAGTTTTGGGCCTTTAAGAGTTTGTGGCCAGGTCAAGCCAGCACTAGATTAATTGATGAGACAATGATTTTTAAAAGCATATGATTAGTGGCTGACCAAAGATTTCAGGTAATTGACATTTGGCTATGAACGAAATACTGTAATTCTGAAAGGAAAAAACAGGGAGTTCGTTCTCTCGTGTCTCTTTTTATAAGAGAGGAAACTTTGTCCTAGAAGCTCTCAACAGATTTCCTCTCCGCTTTCATTGCCTAGGATTTAATCGTCTGCTTCTGCCCAAACTGTAAGAAACGCTGGGAAAGTGTCTGAAATTTTGATATGTTGTAGCAGAGCCTCTGTCAGGAGTGTGAACAGGAAACGGCTGCTAGTAGCCAATCAACCAACCTGCTTCAGTCTTCAAAGAAAGTGGAGACCACGTGACCAGAGTTGTCAGGCAAGGAAGACATCAACAATGAAGATCAGAAAGAATTTTAAAGGAATTATAATATTATAAACTCTAGAGCAGTCATTCAAAACAAAATAAGACAAAGACATACAGTTAATAAGCCGGTAGTAAAGAAAGAATGGAATACAAATAAAATCCTAAAAAGTACAGCTAGAGAAGAAAGACAGGAAAAAAGAACAGATGGGACCACCAGAAGACTTAAATTGCACAGTATTCATAATTAAATTAAATATAAATTATCTAAACACTTCAAGTACAAGGTGGAGATTTTTTTCAGACTAGATTTGCAATAACAGAGCCAACTAGATGGTGTCTCCAAGAAACCCATTTCAAACATAAAAATGCACCTAGGTTAAAATTTTTTTTAAAAAAAAGAAAAAATATATATACCAGTTAAACACTAAGCATTAATATCAAAGTATTTTTCAGAACAAAGAGTATAACCAGGGGCAGAGGATCAATTTCTAATAAGAAAAAGATCAACTCATCAAGAAGACTTAACACATCTAATTGCATATATACCTAAAAACAGAGCTTCCAAAAACATGTAGCAAAAACTGACAGAAATAAGCAAATCTTTGACAATGCACAATTCTAAAGATTTCAAGATTCCTCTCTTAGTAATTGAAATAACAAGTAGACAAAACATCATCAATTAGCTTAACATAGTTCCTTTTTTTTTTTTTTTTTTTGTAGTATGGGGACTCAAACACAAGGTCTTGCACCTGCTAGGAAAGCACCCTGCCACTGAGCTCTAACCCCAGCCCCAAATATAACTCTACAAGTGCATAGGGAACATTCACCAAGCCAGATTATATTCTGAGCTGTAAAAAATTTCTTTCACGGTGGGATCTCCAGACCTGGTATGTGTCTCTTGGAATCTTGGAGGCATTCTTGAGCCTAACTTTCCTTAGCCAACAGCATAGTTCAGACTGGAAAAAAGATGCAAAAACTGGTCTGGAGAACACTGGCATCCGAGTTTTCCTAAGGATATTGTACCAAATCCAAATTTTCGGAAGATATAAGAAGCCAAGAGATGTCGAAGAAATACTGGCTTTCAAAACATTTTTTGGTTCATTTAAAGTACATAAAAGACATGGGTTCCAAATGCTGTATGCAAGTTATTTCCAGTAAACTCGTTTTTTAAAAAGCACCCTCTGTTTACTTGGCATGCTAGCTGTATTATGGATGTGCTTTCCAACGGTATGAAATGAAATCTTCTTTAACCATTGTTGCATAAGGACTAAATGAGGGATGGAATAGACAAAGTAATTTGTTTTTCAAATATCAACACAGGATTTCATGATGTGCTGGGCAATGAAAGGTATCCTGGTTATATGAGGAAACACAACCAATTAAATGGCTGGTCTTCCGATGAAAATGACTGGAACGAAAAGCTCTATCCCGTGTGGAAGAGGGGAGATGCAAGGTGGAAAAATTCCTGGAAAGGTAAGCCCAATTGAACCCCCACAACTGGAATGTCTGACTTTAGCAAGTCTTGGAGGTTACAGAGTTCAGGCTTTCTCCAATGACAGCGCTGTTACTTCCAAGTGCATGGCACCCGGATTTGATGATCTCTCCTTTATCCCGACTGTTTCACTTTCTAGACCACTTTCTAATCTTAGAATTTTCCAAATTTATAATGCTTGAAATATTTTGGAAAGTCAGCAGGTTTAGTCTCAAACCTTTCTAACCAACGTGGGAATGGTCACCTTCAGAAAAATGTGGTTCATCACAAAGCGAATATCTTTCTACTTAGATAAATAATGAGTCCTTCAGTCCTTGGGTATTGAGATGAAAAAAAAATGTGAACTTTTAACATTTGTCTCCTCCATCCCATTGAGCAGATTTTTTTAATCATCATAAGTAAATATTCTTTCAGTGGTTAGAAAATTCTTTCACGAGTCCGATTTCTGTTTATCTTCTAGAATGTTTTATTCTGAAAGCTAAAATAAGGAATTCAGAAAATAAATTTATTACAGCATAAAGAGACATATGGAGCCAGGTGATGTGTGCCTGTAATCCCAGCTATTCTGGAGGCTGAGGCAGAAGGATTGCAAGTCTGAGGCCAGCCTGGGAGACATAGCAAGACCCTATCTCAAAAACAAAAAAGTCCAAAAAGACATATGGATCCTCTGGACCTTATCAATTGATTAAACTTTACTTTAAATGTTTATTAATGGGTGAAAGGTAAAAGATCAGTGAGCTCCATTTCTTGTTGCCCTAGGAGGCCGTGTGCAGGCGGTCCTGACCAGTGACTCACCGGCGCTGGTGGGCTCAAACATAACCTTTGCAGTGAACCTGGTATTCCCCAGATGCCAAAAGGAAGATGCCAACGGCAACATAGTCTACGAGAAGAACTGCAGAAATGGTGAGAATGCAGTAGTTCTCCTGAACTACAGGAGACCCGTCTCTACCCCTTAATGCTCACAGGTACTTCTGAAAGGGCAAGATGCTGCTGCTGTCCTTGCCACCCTCCTCCTTGTGCTGGACAACAGCGAGGGAGAGTGTGGTCCTACCAGGTTCCTTCATCAAATCAACAGCAGCTTGGATCCCTCTTTAAAAACTACACTGTCCCACCCAGCTTTTTCTTAGTGTCCAGTTGAATGGACAACCTCATTGATCTCAGATTATGATTTTATTACTTGGAACTTTTTTTGGAGATCAAAATTGCCTATTTGACAGATGTTTGCTGATGAGTTTAATTTCTGCTGATCAGTATTTCTCAAGCAAATGTTATGTGGCTTGCACAAATGCTTAAATGTGTATTTTGGGGCTCTTAAAGAGATAAGCTCTTTAGCCAGGCATGGTGGCACATACCTTTAATCCCAGCAGCTCAGAGGCTGAGACAGGAAGATCACGGTTTCAAAGCCAGCCACAGCAATGGTGAGGCATTAAGCAACTCAATGAGACCCTGTCTCTAAATAAAATACAAAATAGGGCTGTGGATGTGGCTCCATCAAGGGAAATTATCTTTTCAAAGCTGTACATTCTTTTTATTATTATTATTATTATTATTATTTTATTCTTACGTGGTGCAGAAGATCGAACCCAGGGCCTTGCACGTGCTAGGTGAACACTCTAATGATAAGCCACAACACCAGCCCTAAAACTGTATATTCTTTTTTTTTTTAATTTTTTAATATTTATTTTTTAGTTTTCGGCGGACACATCTTTGTTTGTATGTGGTGCTGAGGATCGAACCAGGGCCCCGCACAAATGCCAGGCTAGCATGCTACCGCTTGAGCCACATCCCAAGCCCTAAAACTGTATATTCTTAAAAAAGAAAAAAACAGCTAATTTACTGAAGCTTATTCTTCTATCAGTGCTAAAGCTATTCGATGTCTTTATAATCTGATTTTATTATTTAGAGTTTTTATTAAACTGTTGATGAGTTCATGCCATATTTTTTTTTACCTTCTCCCCTGGAGAAAACATTGAATTCTATATGGAAAGGGCTTAATTTTTAACACATATTAAGTAATATGGTCTTTTTTGTTTGTTTGTTTCTTCTTTTTTAAAAAAGCTGATTCTTATGACAATCTAGTCCTGTGAGCATTTTTATGGGAAATAATCCTTATGAAAATGTTTATAACTATCTATCATCACTAAAAAAAAAAAAAAGAAAGAAAAGAAAAACTAGGAATCTTTACAGAAGTGACCGATTCCAGGTGTAAGGTAAGAAAGTATAGGCCATCCTGAGACATCTGTTGTGCCAGAAAATAAGAAAGAGCTCACAGACTAACCAGGTTATGTCAAAAGGACACAGGAACCAGCTCAAAGATCTTCCATTGGCCGTGTTTGGATAATTTAAATATAAAAAGCAACAACAACTAGTAGATTCATAAAGAAAAAGGGTCAGGCACAGTGGCACACACATGTAATCCCAGTGGCTCCAGATACTGAAGCAGCGGGATCATGAGTTCAAAGCCAGCCTCAGCAAAAGTGAGGCACTAAGCAACTCAGTGAGACCCTGTCTCTAAATAAAATACAAAATAGGACTGGGGATGCGGCTCTGTGGCAGAGTGCCCGTGAGTTCAATCCCCAGTACCCAAATAAATAAATAGGCTTTTCAAGGGTTGGGGATGTCGCTCAGGGGTAGAGAGCTTGCCTAGCATTGTGAGGCCCTGAGTATCATCCCCAGAACTGGGGAGGAAAAAAAAAAAAAAAGATTTTTCAAAAATATCAGTGACAATAAATAAATAAATAAATAAATAAATAAATAAATAAATAAATAAATAAATAAAAGAGGGTAAGGGGACTGTTCTAGATGAAAAGATATTGACCATTACTTGTTTAAAATGGAAAATTTCATACACACAGAAAAATTGAAAGCACCCAGATACCTTCCACCTACGGTCAACAATCTAAAGTTTTTGCTATATTTGCTTCTCTCTGTAAGTTTATATTTATATCTGCATAGGTATAGATATAGAGATTAATTTATTGTCGCAAAACAAAAACTAAAAAGGGCTGGGATGTAGCTCAGGAGTAGAGTGGGTTCAAAACTCAATATGGGGTAGGGCTGGGGGGGAGTTAATAAAATATTTAATTCAGAGTTGAGCATGATAATCATGTCTTGTTTCTTTCTCTGTTCAGATTCTGGCTTGTCTCTTGACCCGTATGTTTACAACTGGACATCCTGGTCAGAGGACAGTGACTGGGGAAGTGGCCCCGGCCAAAGCCAGCACAATGTGTTCCCTGACGGGAAGCCTTTCCCTCACCACCACGGATGGAAGAAATGGAATTTTGTCTACATCTTTCACACAGAAGGTTAGACTTTTACAAACTCTTTTAGCCTCTTCTTTGCCTTTTAAAAAAAATTTTAAGCTTCACACCAGCTGTGGGGCACACACCTGTAATCCCAGTGACTTGGGAGGCTGAGGCAGAAGGATAATCATTTTTGAGGCCAGCCTCAGCAGTTTAGTGAGACCTTATCTCAAAGTAAAAATGAAAAAAAAAAAACCCACTGGAGATGTAGCTCAATGGTAGCCACCACCCAACTCCCCAGATATAAGTCCCCAGTACCAAAAATAATAATAGAGAARAATAATGAGAAGAAAACCTTAACCCTCTCTTTTCTTACACTAAAATTGAAATGATAACACCAAAACTTTAACAACAGTTACTCCATTAACTCTCCTGAGTTTGAATGGACATAAGAGAGAAAAATAAAATTCTGCTTGACCTTGCTAGATCTCCAGGACACCAAAGAATTAAAATGAGAAAAGAAGAAAAAAAACAGATCCAGTCAGTCTCTCTCTCTCTCTCTCTCTCTCTCTCTCTCTCTCTCTCTCTCTCATTTTTTTTCCAAAACAAATCACTCAATTATTTAGGCAGAACCAGTAATATGAAAAAACCTATTAATATTTATTCATTCAGATGACACATGGATGGGCATTTATTCATTTATTCTTTAATGTCCTCAAATGAATTTTTAAGAATTAAATGTATGCTCTTTGAGGGGAATTTGGGAAATGCAGAAAAACACAAACAAAATATACACTTCATCCATTGAACATGATGGTGTTTTCAATACTAATATTTCCTTTCTGTTTGTTGTACCTGGAATTGAACCTAGTGTCTTGCACATGCGAGGCATGTCTTAAGCTACATCCTAGGCCTTTGGATTTTATTTTGAGACAGGGTTTTGCTAAATTGCGAAGACTCCCCTCAAACTTATAATCTTTCTGCCTCAGCCTCCTGGGATAATAGCCATGTATCATAGGGCCTGGAAATATTAATTTGTCTTTTTTTTATACCAAGGATTAAATCCAAGTGCACTGAGCCACATCCCCAGCCCTCTGTCTTAAGATTAGAATGTATAGCTGTTTTTGCTTGCTATTACGAGCTACTATCATTAAAAGCTACTATCATTAAATGTATACCTGTTTTTGCTTGCTATTACGAGCTACTATCATTAAAAGCTACTATCATTAAATGTATACCTGTTTTTGCTTGCTATTACGAGCTACTATCATTAAAAGCTACTATCATTAAATGTATACCTGTTTTTGCTTGCTATTACAAGCTACTATCATTTACATTATTTTAATGGCTGCATAATATTCCATTATGTAAAAATAATATCATCTAATTACTGTTCTTCCTTGACATAGCCTACCCTCTCTTTTTATAAACCATAAATGGTGTTCTCTTTGCTTTATTAGTGGAAAAGTGATTTATTTTAGGAGAAGCAAATTTAGGTTATTATTAGCAAGGCTGCTAAATTTTTAATTTAAAATGTCACCAGAGGGCTAGGGATGTAACCGGGGTTAGAGTGCTGTTAGCAGTGCAAGATCCTGGGCTCTATCCCCAGTATACAATTAAAAAAAAAAAAAAAAGGCTACCAGGCAATGTTTGAAACTACTACCAAACAGCTTCCACATCTCTAAATGTTTCTTCTTTCCTCATAAATTAGAGAATGTTTCTTTCTCCTCAATGAACTTATTTATATATAAAAACAAAATCATAATACATACTTATTATTAAACAAAGTACAAAATGTCAAATATTATGCCCATCAATTGCTTTAAAGCTGTTTTTTCAATTCCATCTTGGTCCTGTCAGTCAACTCACCAAACATGACTTCCTTGACYCATCAAGGGTGTGTTCTGACTGTTTACATGGAGTCACTTATCTTCACTACCACTCCTGGCACCATGTAGTTAAGGGGTTTTTGAGGGAATGGGATTTTTTGGTGATGCTGGGGATTGAACCCAGGGCCTTGGTGCATGCTAGGCAATCACTCTACCCACTGAGCCATATCTCCAGCCCCCAAGTTGAAGTTTAAGTTAACACTCTTTAGCCTAGTTGCGGTTAAGTTCCTTCAATTTAACCAGATCAGATGTCTTTGCTTAAAAGTCAGTCTTCAACCTAGAAATTGCTGTTTTTCTATCAAGACTCCCGTGAATTTCCATCCTCTACTGAGGTCTCAGAGTTTAGTGATATTCCCAACTCAACTAAGTTTGATCACATCTCTCAGGGCTGGGTTTAACATTTTCCACTTGTAAAACTATTYCTCCATTCCCTCTTCTATCTACATCTTTCTCTTATCACTTACTTTATCTTTATATAGTATACACACACACATACACATATATGTGCTGGTTAAATGTGTGTGTGTGTGTGTGTATACATATATCTTTATATAGTGATACTGATACAAATACTATCAGAAAGTAGAGGATTCCTGTGCCTCTTTTTTTTTTTAATCCTGTTTAACAATATAGCTGTAGTCATATTGTCAACAAATTAAGGTAGAACACCTCACTGTTACATTAAATGCATTTTATTTTTTTATTTATATATGACAGCAGAATGCATTACAATTCTTATTACACATATAGAGCACAATTTTTCATATCTCTGGTTGTATACACAGTATATTCACACCAATTCGTGTCTTCATACCTGTACTTTGGATAGTAATCCACCATCATTTCTAACCCCATGCCCCTCCCTTCCCCTCCCACCCCTCTGCCCTATCTAGAGTTCGTCTATTCCTCCCATGCTCCCCCTCCCTACCCCACTATGAATCGCCCTCCCTATATCAGAGAAAACATTCAGCACATTAAATGCATTTTCTGTGGGAAAAAAAATGTGTACTTCAAGTGCCAAATCACTTCAGTCATGTACAGTATTTACTTGTAAACTGAGGGCCAACTGTATTATCCCAATAAATAGCTCTTTTCATTTTAACCAACAACCCACAATGATGTGTGTACACTGTGGGTGCGCTCTAGAAAGCGCTACATAGAAACCATCTTCCTTCCTGGAGCAGCTCTATCTTCCCTTCCCATCATCCCTCCTCAGGGCATTCCCTCCATGGCAGTCACTGGTCTTTCAGAATCAACTTCTAGAAGGATGGTGTGATGTTGCAGGTAACTAAGAACGTCCATCTCCTTGTAGGTCAGTATTTCCCGAAGTTGGGACGATGCTCCGTGACAGTTTCTATAAACACAACCAACATGACGCTTGGCACCCATATCATGGAAGTGACTGTCTATAGAAGACACGGCTGGTCGTACATGCCCATTGCACAGGTTAAAGATGTGTACGTGGTAACAGGTGCGTGGTGTTGTGGGCTCTGAGGATGAGGCACATGGCTCTTCTGGGGGTTAAGAAAGAGCACTGAGTCTCCTGGGTTAGGTTATGATTCACCTGGGCCCCTACCCAAGCTTAATTATGTTGTCTCCCATCTATGTTTTCCAGAAGAACGTGGGAAAACTCTAGAAAACTTACATACAAAAAGGAGAGCATGATGCTGTGTTACCCCTAATTTTTAACCTAAAAGCCTCACCCACTTGAGATAAAGCCTGGTGCAATCCTTCTTCTTTGTGATGTTTTTTGTAGATGAGATTCCTGTATTTGTGACCATGTCCCAGAAGAATGATCGAAATTCATCGGATGAAACCTTCCTCAGAGACCTCCCCATCAAGTTTGATGTCCTGATTCACGATCCCAGCCACTTCCTCAATGAGTCTGCCATTGACTACAAGTGGAACTTTGGGGATAACACTGGCTTATTTGTTTCCAACAATCACACTTTGAATCACACGTATGTGCTCAATGGAACCTTCAACCTGAACCTCACAGTGCAGGCCGCCGTGCCTGGACCTTGCCCTCCACCTTCACCCAGACCTCCAAAACCAACCTCCTTTTTAGGTAAGCATTTTATGGAGGATCCTGGAGGGAAACTCTTTTTTAACATTTAAAWTTTTTTTTTAGATATACATGACAGTAGGGTGTATTTTGACATATTATATGTTTGTGGATTATAACAGTCTAATTGGGATCCCATTTTTGCAGTTGTACATGATATGGAGATTCATTAGTTGTGTATATACGGAGGAAAGTTATGTCTGATTCATTCTACTGTCTTGTCTACTCTGGGGAGAGATTCTTTAGTGGCTAAAAAATATTGATGTATGTTATACACACACACACACACACACACACACACACACACACACACGTTGTGCTGGGGATCAAATCCAGGGTTATATTATTAAACCCTGCTTAAGTTAAGGGTCTGGGGCAGCTCAGTGGTAGAGTGCTTGCCAAGCATGAGCAAGGCAAGGTTCAACCCTCAGCACCATACAAATAAACAAATGCCTTTTGAAAGAGTTGTGTAGAAACTCTGCAAYGATTCCACTTTGGACCTGTTGATTTTTTAAAACCACTTTATCCCCATCTTAAAGAGCAAGGAAGAAAGGAAAACGTGTTTAAAGTCACTTTCCAGGTAGAATTTGATGACATGTACTCGGCRCTTTGACGCTCCTAATTTGCGCTGCCTCTTGCTATGTATGTGATGCTTTCCCTCTGGGAGCCTGTCACATTTTTGTTTAGCTCCCATTTTCCATATCGATGAGAAGACACACTGGCCTCTTGTAAAGTTGGGCCCTCTGCATTTTTCCTTCTGCCCCCTCCCACAGTACTGATCCCACACTTATTCTCCTCCCCTACCCTATCCACTCTCATCCAGTGTCCCATGAAGGCATAGCTATACTTGAGAGCAACTGCCAAATGGCTCAAGCAAGAATATGCTTGCAGACCTTTCTGGACCAGCAAGCCTGGGCCACTCCAGCCATTTCAGTTGCTCCAGATAATAAAGCTTGATTAATCCAATACCACCTTCTATTAATAGTCTGTGAAGACATTCAAGAAGTTCTTCAGAGGCCACTTTGAAGAGACTGGCTCCCATCCCCACTACCCCATGCCAGGGCCACCCTTCCTCACTGGGTCATTTGCTCATCTTAGCACCCCAGGCTGACATCCTCTCAGTGGTCACAAGAGGGCGCCATGACCAAACCCAGCAGGAACACTCCATCAGGATGCCTGCCAGTGCCTCCTGTGGTTGTTTCTACCAACACTTGTTGGTTATAAATAACAAACTCCTCAAGTGTAAGTAATAAAATGATATCTTGTTAAATCGAGAACATCTCCGGTTGGGGTTGTAGCTCAGTGGTAAGCACCTGCCTAATGAGGCCCTCAGTTCAATACCCAGTTCCAAAAAAACTAAATCAAGAAATCAAGACACTGTATGGTATTAGTACTGACTCTGATTGTTTTTTGAAATGTTTTGAATTACAAAATTAATGTACGTTCCATAGGGAAAAAATCAAACAAACAGCAAAGTCTAGAGTAAAAAGTAAAAGTCCCTATTACATTCTCCTTCCTAGAGTTAAACCCTGTTGGAGTTGGCAGTGGGTTTTTGTTTGTTTGTTTTGCCATACCAGAGTTACATCCCCAGTCCTTTTTATTTTTTATTTAGAGACAGGGTCCCTCAAAGTTGTCATCCTCCTGCCTCAGCCTCCCAAGTAGCTGGGATTCCTGGTGTGTGCCACTGTATCCAAGGACTGTTTCTTTTTTTTAATATTTATTTTTTAGTTTTCAGCGGACATAACATCTTTGTTTGTATGTGGTGCTGAGGATCAAACCCGGGCCGCACGCATGCCAGGCAAGTGCGCTACTACTTGAGCCACATCCCCAGTCCCCAAGGACTGTTTCTTTCCAGATCTTTTTCTGTGCATTTACAAACATATTCTGTATATACATGTATATTTATCATTTTGGGTTTTATGTAAGTGGATTCATGATAGATAAGCAAACTGTRTAAATATGTTGGATATATACTTATACAGTTTTTTAATGAACAACATCATAGATATCTTTCCATTATCAACAAATATTAATCTATCTCACTTTATTCAATTACTACATAGTGTTTCATAGGATGTAGATGTTATTGTTCATTCTCTTTTTGATGTGATAAGGTTAATCCTAATTACAATTACAAATACAACTGTACTGAACTAGTTTAAATATATAACTTCATTCTAGTTGTTTTTGTTTTTTTGGGTTTTTTTGTACTGGGGATTGAACCCAGGGGTGCTACACCACTGAACCACCCCGGCCCTTCATTCATATTTATATAAATAAATTTATATAAATAATATATATAAATAAACTTAGGGAAAGAGTCTCATTAAATTGCTTAGAGCCTCACTACATTGCTGAGGCTGGCTTTGTACTCTCCATCCTCCTGCCTCAGCTTCCCAAGCCACTGGGATTACAGGTGGGTGCCACCACACCTGGCTTTCATTCTAGTATTTCTGCAGATGAACCAATTTCTTTATCTATAAGTATTGATGGTCTTCCTTACAACTAAGAACAGGTGTAAAATTCTGCTATCATTTTTCCTAAGTTAGACCATAAGACAAACTAGTAAACCTTATGAGTTAGTTAAGTTTAATTATGAAGGGAAGTTTCCTGGTTGGTTTTTATCTAAACGTGTTTAATCAATCCCCAAATGCCTTGAAGCTGTGCAGGGAGGGAAGAGTGGGGCTAATTAACAGGCACTGAAATGGACCAGCCTTGGGGAAAGGCATCAAATCTTCCTAAGACCCCCTTGTCTAACTTCCTGACATGTTAGGATAAAGCTAGTTGGGTGGTAATAGGAGTCAACTCATGGCTTTTAAAAGGGGTCTTTTCTTCTAGGGGCGGGGGGTGTAGCTCAGTGACAGTGGTGTGCGTCTGGCAAGGGTAAGGTCCTGTATTCTGTATTCAAGCACTGCAAATAAATAAATAAACAAATGGAATTTTTTCCCAGAGAACAATTCTAACTGTGCTCTCAAATTAATGGGCTTGGATTACTGAGCATTATATTATTATTTGTCCAAAAATGATGCACCCCCTGCTTTAGCAAGGGGCTTCATATGGAAAAAAAAAAAAAACAGCTCAAAACAGAACCAAGTGCAACCACAGTCATAAGATGGTTACAGAGTTGAAGAGGTGATGACGTTAGCTGATTAAATCATGGGGCAGGTGTGTGTGCACTATTTTTGTCACAGAATGCTCTTTCCTTAGCTGACAGTGCTCTTGTTTATTTTTCAGATTTTTTGGGAGAGAGGGTACCAGTGATTGAACCCAGGGATGCTTAACCGCAGAACCCTTTTCTATGTTTTATATTGAGACAGGGTCTTGCTAAATTGCTAATGCTGACTTTGAGCTCACGAGTCTTCTGCCTCAGCCTCCCAACCTGCTGGGATTACAAACATGAGCTACTACGCCTGGCCATTTTTCAGATTTTTGTGAGAAAATCTAAAGCGATCCTTGTAAGACTGATGCTGATCGGTGTAATATAATATGTGTGGTATATGTGTCTGGATATATGTAAGGATCTGAATAGATACCATACATAGGTTCTGATATATATTCACATGTATACATATATACCATATCCTATCATATTAGACTTACATAAAGAATCAAACTGGGTGTGATGGCACAAACCTATAATCCCAGCAGCTCAAAAGGCTGAGATAGGAGGATCATGAGTTCAAAGCCAGCCTCAGCAACTTACCAAAGCCCTAAATAACTCAGTGAGACCCTTCTCTAAATAAAATATCAAAAAGGGCTGGGGRTGTGGCTCAGTGGTTGAGTATCCTTGAGTTCAATCCCTGGTACAAAAAAAAAAAAAAATCAAGATCTTTACCTCCCATTCTACCATTCTCTGGGTAACAGGGACATAATTACGGAATTAAGGATAAAATGTGCCTTTTTTTCCATCTTTTAAAGTGTTCATTTCTTTTTATTAACCCTTTAATCATACCTTGACTTTGTGGATATAATATCTATAAAACTCCATGTGCATTTTATAAACTCTCTACATAAGGTAGAATGACTGAATCTTATTATTTGGTCTTTTTAAAAAATAAGTTTTGTTTTAAAATATGACAAGGTCATGGTTCTATGCTCTAAATTCTGCCTGCCAAGAACCTCAGAAGAAGGAATTTTGTCATTTTCTGGGGAAGAACTAGTGATCTTAAATGTCCTGCACAAACAAATCTATTTCTATAAAGCATATCAGCCTAGTCTTGGGAGAGACACTTCCAAATGACCACTGTGAAACTCAAGGGACATTCCCAAGAGCCTGCAACAGCCTGTCCTGATAATCCACTGCAGTGCCAGGACCTCTCTAAGAACCACTAAGCAGCATGCATTTCCCAACTGTCATGAAGCACTAGTTTCTGGAAATGTGCTGAGAACAGCTCTGAGAAGCCCTTTCCAGGCACAAGAGTGTCACAGGTCATGTCACCCACAGTCACAGAAGCCCTGGAGAAATCTCCCAACTGGCTTCATCCTTACATGTCATGAAGCCAGATAAGGGGCTCCTAGGAAGCTTTGATGTCCTTCCCCAAGGCTCGTGCATTTCAATGAAATGAAACTAAAAASAAGGGCTGAGGATGTGGTTCAGGGGTTCAAGCCCCAGCACCTCAAAAAAATAAATCAATAAAAAGAGATGATAGGGGCATATTTTCAGCACCATATTTCCTTTCTAGTCTTTTCATCTTGTTCAAAGAGTGGCAACACCTTTAAAATKATAACTAGTAGGACATTAGAGTCTTTGCTCTAATTATACTCAACACTTATTCATGTCTTACATTCTCTTCTCTTTTTTTCCCCATACTTTTCAT